AATTGTTGGTTTATATTTATTAAACCAATAATTACAAATTATAAATTCTGTAACCTTATATCTATAACTACCAAAAGTCTGGCCAGATTTATTAAATGATGCAGTTTATATTTATTACTTTTGTCCATAACTTGAATACAAATTCATTAGCCTCTTTAATATTTCGAAACACTTTTGTAAATACTGTAGTTACTATAAAATTTTAACAGTAACAATAAGTATGGTGAATAGTATTTATATGTAGTCTTACCCCCTAAGTACAAGTACTTTTTTAATCTCTATAAATCTCTAAATGCAAATTTATCTATGGTCCTGACAAGATATACATAGGGGATATAACTGTACTATATTAGTACAAAATCAACTCACTTCAAATAAATATTGCGAATCTTGATCACCAAAATAGCCAAAGAGATCGGTTTGTTTTTTCAATACATTTTTCAATTTTTCAAACTGATATACTTTTTTGCATAGCATATCTAATTCTTTCAGTTTGATTCATTATCATTTTCTCTTTATTCTTAAAATCGAATGAGTGTGTTCAGCATATTTATTGCTTCTGACAAATTTACTGGAGGTGTTGGAAGCACATTATCTTCCTTAGGATCTGTTACTACTTGCTCAGAATTAAAGGTTTTATGGACCATCGCAAGAATTTTATTATCATTCATTATATTCTCTGTAGCAAGAGGTTTATCAATGATTGTACAATATAACTCAAAATCTTTCTTAAGTCTAGCTGCTTCCAGATCTCTGTTTGAAAAAAAAGTTTAAAAGTTATAGCCAAAGATAAAATTTTGTTACAAAAAAAAAAACAAAAAAAAAAAAAACAAAAAATAAAAAACCCATTATCAGTAAGGTGATGGTCTCATATTCATCATCAATATTTATAAAGAATGGCTCTGGTTTATCACTATTAATTGCATCTGAAAGTATGCCAATAGAATTTCAACAATTTTTGATTGTGATATCATTTACTTCATCCTATAAATGTGTGACAAAATCAATAGCTTGTTTGATATTCAACTTATTTCTATAGTTAGTAAATAAAATAAATTGGATTTTTTTTTTTTTTTTTTAAAAAAAAAAAAAACTTTCTTTTCTAAATTATATTTCTTCTTAAACAACTTTAAAATATGCTGAGAATAAAGCCGTTTATATTTTGATTTGAAGCTTTTAATTATGCTTGCATCCATCGGTTGGATATAAAAGGTTGTATTCAGTGGTAAATAGTATATAGTTATATTAGTTAACATAGCACTGATACTTGAAGCATTTGAGTTCACAAAGTTTAGAGAAGTATGTGAACGTATATTGTCTACAAGTAGGAGAATCTTCTGTTTTTAACTGTGAAAAATACTGTCAATATATCGTAACCAGCCTTTCTATATATTTGATCGCATTTATGCCTTCTTGTTAGAATAATAAATCACTAGAAAATAAGCAACATTGATATTCTTAAAGCACTGTGGTTTTTCAGATTGACCAATAATAAGCGGTTAAAACTTATATATTCTAGTAAAATTCACCGCAAGTAATACCATAATTTGTGTTTTGTCCTATTAAAAAAAAAAAAAATCAGTTTTTAAAATCATACAAACAAATATATATATATTAAATATTAACAATTAAAAAAAAAAACTTGCTAGTTTTCTTCTATATCGTTGTTTGTTAGAAAGTGTTTGAGCAGAAAGTATATGAAAAAAAAGTTCAATCTTATCTGCATTATAAACATCATCAGGGTGGTAGCAGAACATAATATTTTGCAATTGTAATTAAAATTCTAGTAAGGATTTAAAAGGTGCATTTTCAGATTCTCTGTGTGTTGTAATACGACAAAGTTGATTCCTTCTTTTAAATTTGGTAACCCAACTAGATAAAAATGATAAATCCTCTTCCTTTATACCAAGTATACGAGCAAACTTAATTCCTTTTTCTCTTAACAAGTAGTCACTTAAAGGTATATTTGCAGTGATAATTTGTTGAACCCAAGTTCTCATAGCGAGCTCAAGTTCTGGAAATTTAACAGACTTATGACGAAACTGGTTTTCAGCACCACTTTTCTCTTTTATATCTTTGTATAGTTCACAGTTTTTTAAAATCTTTGATATAGTAGAACAGTCTAATTTCAGATTTGAATATTTTTTTATAAATTCATTTGTGATTTTATGGTATTTTGCATTTGAATTTTGTTAAGCGTATTCACAAATTTTTTTCGTTGCAGATCACTTAAATATCTATATGTTTTTGGAGCTTCATTGTTTACTGACATTTTTGATTAATTTATAAGTTTACAGTTACGCTAAAACCTATACTATTTATACTATGACAAAATGTATAACATGTGTACTTACATATAAAAATTAAAAAAAAAAGATAGTAGCGATGTCTAGCTTGCTACGTACATACGTATGTCAATCTTTAAAAAAAAAAAAAAAAATTAAAATAAAAAAATGACAACCTTTTTTTTAAAAAAAAGTTTTTACTTTGCATTTAGTTTAGTTATAAACCAAAAGAACACAAATACAGTATTAAAACATTTTAGTACTATTAGTATCAAATTTATTATCAATTAAAATTTTTTTCTTGCATAGCTGTCTAGGATAAAAAGTATTTGTATCTTATTGCAATTTATAATAATTTATGGGATTACAATAATGCAAGATAAGTTGTTTATTGTTATTATTATTTAACCTTTAACGTTTAATACTAATCTAATTTTAATTTAGAATAATTGATAGATACTTGAAATAACCAGTTTCTGTATTAACTATCAAAGAACAGTTTTGTAATAAAATTATACATATGGTGCAAGAAACTTAAAAACTTCAATCTCTCTATATAGAGATAATGCATAAACTAGTGATATATTAAAAATAAAATTCTTAAATTATCGATCTAAAAAATGGTCTAGAATTTTTTGTATAGCCAAAGAATAATAATATGCACTTAAGAGTAACTATTATCTGTATATTGAAATAAGCTGCTATTAAGAATACCATATATATTTAGATCACTTCCCCATGAATTAATTGAACTTTATTCTATATAAAGTGATTGTGGTTTATAAATTTCCTGCACTATATATATGCACGTACATTTGCACAATATACATATTAGATATGTACATATATGCGTACGTACATACATATGTATAAAATCTAGCATCGCAATATGTTTAAAGACCTAACCTAAATGAATTAAAAGAAGAATAAAAATGTAAAAAAATCATTGCAAATCTATTTATAGTATTATTTAAACTCCACCACCGTAATATCATAATTAGACCCATGACAAAGCTTAGTAATATTAAAAAAAAAAGGCAAAATTAGTAAATTAGAATATATTGTAATAAAAAATCAAAATTAAGAAAAATAATATTTAAAATATGATTCTATAGAAAGCTATTTCTATTTAAATAATCCTATATTTTTAAAATTATAACTATATAAAAATTGTGATTTTATAGATAGAATTTATTTAGATTGGTTTACAAAATTTGGTGATAGTGCTTATATAGAAATTGTAACATTAAAGAAAAGGTTTTAATATAAATATAATCGAGACTGAATTTTTAGATGAATAAATAAAAAATATGATTATGTAAGAAGTGACTATATAGGAGTGCGACTGTATTAATTTTTTTTTAAAAATATAATTTAGTATCGATATCAAAAAGATAAATAATTTTTAATAAAAAAATTTTTTTTTGTTTTTTTATTTTTAATATGTATTTGTAAGTTAAATAAGATATATTTAATAATAATAATAAAAATAATAATAAAAAATATAATTATATTAAATAAAATAAACTTAAGTTATTTTTTAATTATTAATAGTTTTTTTTTTGTTTATATGGGGGGCCCCACAGCAAAAGGTGGTGATAGACTAAAAATTTTTTTTCTGTAGTTTTTTAATATTGTGTTCTAAATAGTCTAATTTTTGCAAAAATAAAGTTTTTACAAAAAAAATTTTTTTTGAGTATCACCACCTTTTGCTGTGGGGCCCCCCATATGCTGATTTGTTGTTTTTCCAGTGATGATATTATTATTGATAATATCGCTACTAGGGCTTGATCTTAATCTTGTACCAAATCGTTATAACAAATGATGAAAAAAATATAGTACAAACTATTGTCTCTTTCTTTTCTTTCTTCTCTCTACCGTGTTGAAGATTAATGATTTTGCAAATATCTTGTGCTTATAAATTTGTGGCTTGTAAACAAGCCACAAATTAAACGCTACTCATTTTTGCAAAATTTCACAAAGTTAAAAAAATAAAGTTAGAATAGTTCTCTTAAATTTTATTTTATAATTAATTAACCTCCTAGAGCCCCCTAATCTTGAGAGCAACTACAAAATCTTGGTTTGCAGGATGTGCTATATAGTTGTTAAGGCAACTAAGTACGCTATCCTCTCAAAACCTTTAACTTGCAATAAATATAGTAACTATATTATGAGATTTCACAAAATACCTCATGCTTTTGAATTTGTAGCTTGTAAACAAGCCACAAATTAAATGTTACTTATTTTTTGTAAAATCTTACAAAAAGTTAAAATTAAATAAAATTTTGTAATTTAGTTTCAAAAAAATATAAAAAGAATTTATATAAATAAAATTTATATTATTGATATAATTTATTGTTTACTAAAAATCCTGCTGATCATCAAAACACAAAATTCCTAAAAATAAATTTTAACAAAAAACATAAAAAACACACAAAAGTTACTAAAACTAATCTCAGGCTTCTAAGTAAAGAGGAAGAAGACAACAAAAAATACTCAGTCTCTTAAGAGACTTGAGTAAGAAAAACAGAGACGGCAAAGAAATAGAAGAAGTTGTGAAAAATCATCGATATTTTTTTGCACTTTGCGAACTTTGGGGGAATCAGCCTTGACCCTGAATTGCAGATCTGTTTTAGTAACACAAGAATTACAACACGTAATAGAAAATAAACAAATTAAACACGACAAAGACCACGTGATGAA